GTCAGAGCCCCGGAAATCAACACCTTGGTAAAGCTGCTTGACCCAGTCTGTTAGGAAAGATGTCAAATAAATGTTGTTGAAGTTACTTTCCCCACATAAGTCTACAGCTCAAGCATAAAGTCCACGGAATGTTGGCCATTCCCATGGGGCTGCAATGATTTGTATTCGGCACACAGTAACAGACGTAGAAGATTAATCTCAGAGTGTGATTGTTACATACTAAAGAAATAGATCACTAGTTCCACACTGTGTGAAAGTGAATAAAAAGTAACAGGAATGAAATTTAAGCTTGTCACATATGCATTATCTGTTGCCTACAAGAGAAATTGAATGCCTAGTGAATGCTATATGGTTTAGCTCAGAAAAAAAGAGATTACTTCAGTTTTCAAAGCAACAAAAGAATATTATAGCCAAACACTATTTAGACATAAAATCTGTTAATTGCACAACTAATCCATGTACAATTTGTTTATTAATTTTTAGAATTTGAATCCAACAAAGAAAATACCAAAACTGTTCCTAACTTAATTTAGGCTCTGAGGTAACAACAGTTTTATGAGGAACAACCACAAAAAAATTAAAATAAATAACCCAGCAGCAGCTTAGTCATTTTTTTGGATGAATATTTTCTATGAATCCAGAAATTATAGCAGTAACCGTTATCATTATATTAGCCTAGGTCATGAACTCTTTGCAAATATGATTATGAATATTATATCAGCACTGCATTTTCCAAATAACCTTAAAACTTGCTGTAGGTAAATGCTTATCATAACTCATCAGAATAAATAAAAGATATGGGGGTAAGAAATAAACTATTTATAAATGAATGCTTGAAATACTGTTTATATATAGTTAATAGTTTATCTATATTTTAGTTATAATAACTGAATAAAAAGTAATTGGGAAACTTAAACAGGTTTTAGCCTTAACTCATGCATATGAAAAAACTCTTGATTTAGATTAAGAAGTTGTGTTTTATTACATTCAACACACTGCCAAAAAAGTTTCCTTCACCTTGATCACCACCGTAATTAATTCTATATTTATTATATTTAACTTTGTAAAAATGTAGTTTAGAAATTGGAAAAGCGATTCTTGGAAACGAGGACTCTGGCTATCCTGTTAAAGAATAAAGTCGTTATAGGTACCAGATCTTTTCGGGGCCCTGTCCCTGCAGATGATGTCACAATATGACAACAGCACTCGAACAGACTTTATAGGTCCCGTTTCATATGAATCAAATCTTTTCTGAGGTCTCTGTTTATCATTACCTTTATTAAAGACTAAGACTAAAGGGCTGGTTATACTCCCTGCTTTTTTGATATATGCCCAATATTGAAGCGTGGTTTTTACTATGTTATTCCACGCCACAAAGCAAGAGGGGTAATCATGAACTAGCTACGGGTCTAGATACGGCTGAGGTGGTGAGAAAGTAGAGGCAAGTTAGTCCGACAAAAAAAGAGCTGGGATCCAGGTGGAAAAAGGGTCCCAGCGTTCTCACACACCTCGCTCTTGTAGCTTGTCCAGCTTCATGAGTTGTTTTCCACAATGGTGGTCATACACACAAAGTAAGCTGGTAAGGTACCAAACAGGAAATATGCATAGTGTAAAGCGGATGTAGATTTAACCAATCAGAGGCCTCCTGTCTGCAGCACTGTCTGTGGTCACCTACAATTTTGGAGAGGTGCAGCAGAGTGTCTGCGGAAGGGGTTCTCTGCGACACACATGTAGATTACCTGGTTTCTGAGTATAAACCAGCCTTAATACTACATTTGGCTGTCAAAAACAACACTGGTTCACTCGCTCCCAACTCAGCACATGGACACTTCGTTATGTTGTTATAAATGTCAGGGCTAACAACAATAGGTTTTATATGTCATTGTGGAAACGTTCAGACAATCATAGAGTGCAACATCACCGAGATGCGCAGGGCCTGAGCAGATCTTACCAACTAAGCAGATCTGGTACCTACACCATCAGCGATGGTCTGTGGATTTTACTTCAGTGCCTCTAGTCGCAGTAAAAATATGAAAAAATCCTTTCAGGGCCTCTGTAGGTAAGATATCTAGCTCACATCACTGAGAATTATTTAAACCAGAAAACAAAACAGGGTGTTAAACATTTTTAATCCTCTTACAAAATTCGTTCTTGTAAGCTTTTGTGTTAATCAGTGATACCTACTATCATCAAGCTGACAGAAGCGTGCAGGTATTCCTGATGTGGTTCCTTTTTTTGGTGTAGCTGTCAAGCCGCTTAGATTATTCTTTAAATAACAACTAAAGTCGACACTGTAGAAATAGAAAGAAACAAATAAAGAAAAACAAATGTCTTTTTTAATAATCAATCGGGACAGCTAAGATAAAAGTATGATCTATTACCTGCTGAAAGAGAAGTAGGTGCACTGTGGGTTAGCAGAACACAGGACCTGACAGTGTTCAGGAGAAACAGACTTCAGCT